CTCCGACCACCCGAGAGACGGCTCGCAGGCGCAGCCCCCTTCCCACTGGCTCCACAGGCGCGGCTGCCGTCGAGGCGCCGGGACACCCACAGGGTCCCTGGCAGCGGCGGCACTGGCCCAGGATAAAGCCAGATCGCTCAAGAAACCAAGCCAGCTCACAGGAAGCCACAGGGGTGCAGCCCCAGGACAGACACACCAGCGGCCGAGTCAACGCCAGACACCCGAGGGCCAGGTGTGGGGGGAGGGCCGCGTCCGGGCACCCGGGATGCCACCCTCGGACCACACCCTCCCCGCACCACGCCCGCCCTGCAGCTTAACCCCATCTTCTTCACAGAGGCTGGGGTCACCCCCACCAGGGGACGGCCTGCCGGGGTGACAGACACCAAAACGTGTAGGAGAGACCCAGTAGAGCTACCTACATCAATCAGACTGTTTCTCACTTTAAGTAGAAAAACCCCGCCGAGTCAACACATAGCTGAAGAGAATCAACGGCAAGAAAGACAAAAAACAAGGTGAACTAGTTTCCCCGAGGGGAAAAGCAGGAACTTTCAGAAAACGTGAGACCGGAAGTGGTATCGCGTCTGTTTAATCAAAGTAGAGACCCCTGTGGAAAAGGAGAAACGAGAGAGCAGGAACACTTTATGCCAAAGTAAAGGGGCTCAGCCAAGATGTGAGCTCAGGACCCTGCATACTGGGGACCTGAAGCCTGGATTAACTTTCCAGAAGACACAGGCAGAAAAACTCAAAACATAAAGCAAAGGAGAAAGGGACAGAAAATCAGAGAAGCATGGATGTGAAGAATCAGCCCAGTGTTTCGCAACAGGAATTACAGAAGAGAAAACAGATGTGGCGTGAACGATTCCCTTGTAAATAACAGGACAACGTTTTCCAGAACTGAAGAAAAGCACAAAACTTCAGATTGAGACAGTCTGCAAAGGGCCTGAATGTCTGAAAACCAGAGGCTCCATACTTATTCCTACTCTGGGCCGGAATTTCCATATTTCAAGGATGACATTTGCATAAATAAATTATGTTATGACCATAAATGGAATACTACATAGCTGTAGAATAAATGAAACCTCTTCGTGCATAAAGATCTCCGAGATACATTAAAACTGAAAAGCCATATGCAAACAATAACCAAAAGGGGGCCGGAGTGGCTATACTTACCCCAGACAAATGAGACGTTAAAAAACTGCTACTAGTGACAAAGCACAACATCTTATAACAGCATGAGAACAGGCACACGGACCAACGGAATCGAATGGCGAGAGCGGACGTAGGCTGTCGTGACTGAGGGAGGGAGCAGCCTCTGCAGCAGCAGTTCCGGACACCGGGATGCCTCACGTCATATCCCAAACTCAGCTCAAAACGTGTCACAGATCTAAATGTATGACAAACTAGAAGATCCCTGGTAAAAATTATGGGAATAAATCTTTATGACCTTGTGTTGGGTGATGGCTTCTTAAATGTGATACCAATGTGTAAGTGGTTTTAAGAAATTGGGAAGTTGGATCTCATTAAAAACTTTTATTCTTCAGGGGCCACTATCACTATCAAAAACAGTGAACAGGTAACCTGCAGAACAGGAGAAGGTATCTGCAACTCCTGTGTCTGGTAGAGGGCTAGTACACAGGGCACGTAAAGAACTCTTACAGCTCAACAATTAAAAAAAATAATAATGACCCAACAACAATATCAAAAAAAAAAAGACGAGCAAAGGAATGGGCACACATTTCTCCAAAGAAGACAGGATAAGATGCTCAGCATCACTGGACATCAGAGGAATGCAAGTCAAAACCACCGTGAGATGCCACCTCGCACCCACCCGGGTGGCTAAAAGTAAGAAGACACAGTAACGGGCTGGCAAGGATGCGGAGGAACTGAACCCTCACACACCGCTGGCGGGAAGGTGAAATGGTGCGTTCCTTCTGGAAGATACTTCAGCAGGCTCTCAAAATGTTAAGATTTTTATTATATTTATTTATTTTGAGAGAGAGAGAGAGAGACAGAGTGCAATTGTGGGAGAGGCAGAGAGAGAGGGAGAACAGTCTCCAGAATGTTAGACTCGGAGTTCCCACACACCCAGGGGTCCCCCCTTCCAGGGATCCACCCCAACACCTCCCCACAGAGCACACGATGCACACGGACCTTCGCGGCAGCACTATTTACAGTCGCTGGAAAGTGGAAACAGCATCTCCGTCCCTGAAGGGCAGGTAAACAGGGTGCGGTCCGTCCATGGACGGCGTAGTCGTCCGCCCAACAAGGGAGGATGCACTGAGACTTGTCACAGCCCGGGGGTGTTGGCAAGAGACAGATGTCAGTCACCAAGGGCCACGGAGCGTCCGAGTCCATTCGCAGAAAGTGCCCAGAGCAGGGGATCCACCAAGACCGACTGCCGGTCGCCAGGGGCGGGGGGCTGGGGGTGGGGGTGCTGCCGGCGGTACAGGGCTGCTCTGGGAAGTGACACAAATGTCCTGAAACCTGCAGTGACAGCTGTGCAGCTCTGCGAGTATGCAGGACACACTGGGCTACGTGCTCAGGGAGAGTGAATTTTATGATCATGAACATGATGAATTTAATGTGAATTACATCTCAATAAAGCTGTTACTTAAATAAAAGAAAGCGTGGACTCGAGTAAGTGGGAACTGACGGGGAGTTGATGAGATACCACACTGACGGAGGACAGGGACAGGCTTACTTAAGGCGCTCGTTCACAGCAGTGATGAACACATAAAAAAAAGAAAAAAAAAAAGAAATGCGTCCAGAAGTAGCATCAGACACAAATTCCTCCGCAGAAAAACCAAAGAGATGCCGTGGGATGAAGGCGTGGGAGGTCGGCCCACGAGGCAGGAGCGCAGAGCAAAGTGCCAAGGAGGACGGACACAGGGGACACACAGGAGCCCCGCAGGAGAGACGGTGCGGGGGCCGCACCGCAAGAAAGTGTCCTTGAAGCAGACAGACAGATGGGGCCACCCAGACAGAGAGACAGATGGGGCCACTCAGACAGACAGACAGATGGGGCCACTCAGACAGAGAGACAGATGGGGCCGCTCAGACAGACAGACAGATGGGGCGCTCAGACAGACAGACAGAGAAGGCCGCTCAGACAGACAGAGAGACAGATGGGGCGCTCAGACAGATGGGGCGCTCAGACAGACAGATGGGGCCATTCAGACAGACAGACAGATGGGGCCACTCAGACAGACAGACAGATGGGGCGCTCAGACAGACAGATGGGGCGCTCAGACAGACAGACAGATGGGGCCGCTCAGACAGACAGACAGATGGGGCCGCTCAGACAGACAGACAGATGGGGCCGCTCAGACAGAGAGACAGATGGGGCCGCTCAGACAGACAGACAGATGGGGC